AGAGAGAGAGAGAGAGAGAGAGAGAGAGAAAGAGAGAGAGAGAGAAAGATGAACTTAGCCACAGAGTTAGACCATGAAAACCACTGAGAATTACTGAGGTAGAAACCAAGAAACATTGAGGAAGAATATCTCCGAGGCAAGCAGAGCTGGCAGCAAAGGTGTGGGCCATGCTCATTGAAGAAGGGGTGACTGTTGCTCCGGCAAATGAAATTAACTTCTTTGGTAGGGAAGCCTCACAGGCAGCCGAAAGAGCTTTGTCTAGGGAAGCAGTCAGGGCTGTCTTTATGGTGAACCAGTAATCCATTGAGCACTCCACATGGCAGTCCCTAAGCTGAGAGCTGAGTGACAGCTGGGGCACTGGTGTGCAGTGGGGGGTTTGACAGCGGAAGGGAAACTTCATGGTGCTATCAAGAGGATGAGCACACAGAGGAGAGTTCTTAAACTGAAGTTCACGATGGGAATGGGGTGGCTGGAGTGTGGGGAGGTTGGAAAAGACCAGGGGGTGTCCTTATCACTATGTTACAAATACTCTGTCCTTGACAGAGCCCTGAGAAATGAGTGTGAGCTGAGTAAGGAAAGGAGGAAGGACATTCCAGCCTCAGGCTGGGAGATGAGCATGGGTTTGGAGTATTTGGGGAATCACGGGTTGGATTCTGGAACATGGTGCAAGGTGGATAGAGGTGAGAGAGGAAGCCACAGAGGGAAATTGGACAGGCCAGGTCTGTGAACAAGACTCAGGATCTTCTGGCTAAGAGTAGGTGAGAGAGACACCAGAAGACACAATTGTGGTTTCTTCATGGACTTTGTCCAGGGGGAGTTGGAAAAAGGGTTTCAAATCTCTCCCTGCAGAGCCAGACATGGACTGGTAGAAAAGGGTTTCTGCTCTAGAATTGTTGTTTCTATTTCCCCAGTGAGGGAAGAGATTCTCAGTGGAGAGGGGACATCATCCTCCTGGCCACAAGGGGGTGAACAGAGGGCTGTTTCAGGGTGTTTACTTTATCTCTGTCTTCACCATCCCCACCATCAAACTAGTGGGGGTTGAGTAGTCACAGAAAGGTGACAATAGAGATCTTGGAGACCCAATAAGATGAGCTTTGGTGGACTACGCTTGTTTCTGAATTCTCTATCATCAAGACTTGCTTAGTTTGGAACTGGAGAACATCAGGCTACGTGAAAAAAAGCCAGATTCAGAAAATCCCGGGCCCCATGTTTTCTCTCATACGTGGAAGCTACAGAGAAAAAAGGAATAAAAAGGGGGACCTTGCAAACATTGAAGGAGGATAAGGAGTAGAAGTGAGGGACCAGGGGAGGGAGGAGGGAAGGGAAAAGAAAAGATCTGGGGAATGAAGTTGACCAATTATGCCATTTGCATATATGAAATTATCACAATGCATTCCAATTTTACATATAACTATAACACACCAACTAAAAAAATAAATAAATGGAAGGAAGATCAATAGAATGAAGGGAGGGGATCAGGGAAGAGAGTTGGGAAGGGAAAGTGAAAGATTGGGAATTGAGATGGAGAAAACTGTTAGCCACATCCCCAGCCCTGTTTTGTATTTTATTTAGAGACAGGGTCTCACTGAATTGCTTAGCTCCTCACCATTGCTGAGTCTGGCTTTGAACTTGTGATTCTCCTGCCTTAGCCTCCAGAGCTGCTGGGATTACAGGCATGAGCCACTGCACCTGGACTCCAGCTCACACTTTGCTCTTACTAGTAGTGACAAGGCCTAGAGATTGTGTTTTCTATATTAAGAGCCTTGGTTTCTTTTTCTCTTAAATGAGGACAGTAGTCCTTACAGGGTTTTTGTGAAAACCAAAGAAGGGCATTAGGCTGTGAAGACTAACATTTGCTCCGTGAATACATGTGCTGGTTAAAGCAGCTCACCTGGGATCACAGAAACTGTTTTTAAAGCTCTAAGAACTCTGAACGTCCTCAGGCCAGAGATTCCTCGGAGATCTATTGCTGCACCAACATATCTGTAAGATCAGAAGTCAGTCAGCATTTCTGCACGGAGAGGGCCCCAGGAATTCATGCAACATAAGTAAGGATAACGTCCGATAGCGTGAACTTAGGAAAACTCAGGACAGAGACTTAGAACCTGGTGGCACTACCATCTGTAGACACAGACACTGACTTAATCATCACATTCTCTTTTGGAAAAGACCATTTTAGAAGATGCAACATGATCTAGAGGCTCTGTGCACCACACAGATGATGAATATTCAAGCACACAGCCTCGGCCAATCTATCTGCTCAGACATGGTTCCTCTGGAGATGCCTCCATGTTGGCTAGTTACCCAATATGGGCAGGATGAACTTTGCCTCATCATTATCAGCTCAGAGCTGAGGTCTTTGACTTGTTCCTGTGGATGTGGGACTAACCTGAGTGACTTCAAAAGCAACACTCTATGGCAAGAAAACCCCAAGCCAGATAAGGAAGCTGAAATGAGGCGAGGAAACACGTCCAGAGCCTGAGCCTGAACACACAGGGACAAACACAAATCAGTGTGGGCAAGTACTCACGCCAGGGTGATGACGCTAAAGTCCAGCCAGTTCCAAGGATCTCGCAGGTAAGTGAACTCATTTAGACAAAATCCCCTTGCCAGTATCTTGATCAAAGCTTCAAAGGTGTAAATGACCGTGAAGATGTACCTGGGGAGGAGGGTGGAAAGGGACATTAATGGGGCCGCGGAGAGAGCTCAGGTGGTTCCTTCTGCATCCGGGAGGGGAGATGAGCTGCTGTGGTTGTTCCAGGGCAGCACATGCAGAGAACATCATCAAGATGAGGAAGGGGAAGAAATCGAGGGAAGGAGACAAGACACAGAGAGAGGGATATCAAGAGTTGCACAAATGGGTGGGGTAGGGTGCAGTGGTGAGGGGTTTGTGTGGCTGAGATGCCAGCAGCCTCCGAAGGCAGGCAAAGGGCAGTAAACAAGGATCCTCCTGTTCCAGGAGCCTTCCAGAGGTGCTGTCTTATGGATCTAGAGGCTCCTTTTCCAACCTGTTGGTAATGGAAGAAGTAGAAGAGGGATGAGGCTCTGCTACATCCCTCCTCCCCAGACTTCTCTACTTCCGACTCTCATTCCTTCTCCCACCTTGTCTAGTCTGCCTGGGTTCCTGGTCTAAGTGCTGTGAAAGAAAAAGGCATCTAAATCCACAAGTGTTTTCTCAGGAGGATAGATCCAAGCAGAGGAAGTTATCTCTAAACAGCCTCTTTATTTGGCTGGGTGCCCTGTTGGGTTTGGATTTGAAGAGATGACTGTGGAGTTCATGTTGGGATTTAGGTTTCTCAAGCGTTTGGAGTCCCTCCATCACCTGTGGCAGGTTGTCACATTCTAGCAAGCATCGGAGCCACCTGAAAGTCTTGCTCATTTCTAGACTCTGTCTTGAGGGTGTCTGAATCTGATCCAGTAGGTCTGGGGTGGGACCCAAGAATGTAAATTTCCCAACACATTCCCAGCTGAGGTTAATGCACTGGCTCAGAGAACCACTCTTTGATAACCACTAACTCGAAGAATTTAGTTGCACGCAAAAATTGCACATAATTCTGGATATATTGAAAAAAAATTTAAATTATAAACATTTTCCTCTTAAAAACAGCAAAGGTTTTTATTAGATATGGCAGATAGAACACATGGATTTACCTTCATCCTTCCTGACCCTTCTCAGATGACAGCTAAAGGATTGTTTAAAAAAGGCATGAACCTACTAGGACAAACACAATGGAGAGTACAACCTAGCCTTCTCAAAACTAGAGAATAAACTGATGAGTTTATTCTGGCGGAGCAGACCTCAGAAAACTGATAACTAGCTACAAGTAGGATGCACCTGTGCAAGCCAAGCTCTCTGCAGAACCTCCAACAGCCCAGGCTTTAGAGATGCCCAATGGCTCCAAGGGTGGACTTTGGAACAAGAGGCAGGGGGAGCTGAGAGGACTGTTTGAAAGTCTCTACAAGAAGCAATAGGACTGTCTAGACCTCACTGTACCCTCCACTTGGTGATGAACGCTCTCCTCTGTTCCAGAGGTGGAGTGGATGTTCATTCTCAAGGGCTGAACAAGAGGAAGAGAGACGCATGCTGAAACATGGTTATAAAGAAGAGTTTGTGTACTAAAAGGCAGACATCCCTCTTCTGCCCCTCATTACGTTCCAGAAGGCAGCCAGGTTTATGACTCATGAAGATGATGCACTTTACCACTCTGGAAAGCAGTATGGAGATTTCTCAGAAAACTTGGAATGGAACCACTCATTTGACCCAGTTATCCCACTCCTTGGCATATACCCAAAGGACTTAAAATCAGCATACTGTAGTGATATGGCCACATCAATGTTTATAGCAGCTCAATTCACAATAGCTAAGCTATGGAACCAATCTAGGTGCTCTTTAACAGATGAGTGGGTGAAGAAAATTCGGTATATATATATATATATATATATACAATGGAGTATTGCCCAGCCATAAAGAAGAATAGAATTATAGCATTTGCTGGTAAATGGATGGAACTAGAGACTACCATGCTAAGTGAAATAAGCCAATCCAAAACAAAACAAAACAAAACAAAAAAACCAAAGGCTGAATGTTCTCTTTGATATGTAGATTCTGACACACAATAGTGGGGGGGGATAGAATTTCATTGGATTAAAGGAGTCTGAAGGGAAGGGAGTGGGGTGGGAATAGAAAAGACAGTAGAATGAATTGGACATAATTTTCCTATGTTCATATACGAATACATGACCAGTGTAACTCCACATCACGTACAACCACACAGTTATACCCTGAGTATGTATGATATGTCAAGAAAAATTCTATTGTCATTCATAACAAATAAAAAAATCAGAAAAGTTAAAAAAAAAAAACAAAAAACAAGACAACAAAAAAGAAAGATGCTGCTGAACTCTGAGTAAGAACAGCCAGGCAAGGAGAGTTGAGAATTTCCTGTTGAAAACATTTATATTCGGTGTACAAAAATTCAAATACATCTTACATCTTATAATCCAAACGTTTTACCTGAAATGAAATAAAAGCAAACCTACAAGCAAACCTATATATGTTTACTTGCTAGTTCACTGTACCTAAAATATGGAATAAAAAGAAGAGAAAACCCAGAGTCCCCCCAGATGGCTCTCAGAATGCTTTTCTACATCTTGTCTGTGGGTGACACCTTCTCTGTGACTTGATTAGGCGGGGACTGATCAGGGTGGTGTTTTGTAGCTCCAAATAACTCTTGAATTCCAGTTCTATTCAGCCTCCACTTGTTCTTTTGACTTCTGATATGTTTTCTCAGGGGGAAAATACAAGATATTTTCACAAATTGCTGATAGCTAAAAAAAAAAAAAAAGTACTAGAGTCTGAGAAGGGCTGTCTTTGCACAGCCGACATGTCTGCAGCTCTCTAGAAGGGGTTTGCAGGAGGGCAATCTGATGGGCTAGGCAATTGGGGACTAGTGAAGACCTGGCCTTCCAAAGCCTCTTCAAGGGGCATCAGGAATCTGAGGGACACTTCTAACTCTCAAACCCAAAGCAACCAAAGTGGGGGAGAGGGAAGACAGTAGAAGAAAATTTAGAGAGAATGAAAGTTTTTTAGAGAATTAAGAGGTGAAATTAACACTTAGTAAAACAAGATTAGAAGGCTATTTAAAAAAAAACAAACCTCTCAAGAATAAAATAAAAAATTGAAAACAAAAATATAACAGCAAAAGTAAAACATTAATAGAAGGACTGGAAATAAAGTTTAAGAAATCTCATCGAAAGCAGAACAAAAAGCAGAAATGGAGGAGGTGATAAAAAAAAGTAGGAAAATTAGAGAATCAGACTGGAAGGTGCAATGTCTCCCTCATAAGAGGTTGAGAAAGAAATAGAGAAAGAATAGACTGGAGAAAGGTATCAAAAAATAATTCAAGAAACAACTTCCAAACTGACGGATCTAAGTCATAGACACACCCACCAACGTTCAGGAGAATCAGTGGGAAAAAAAGCCATATCTAGGCATAACATCACGAAGTTTCAGAGATTTGTGTACAAACAGAAACGCTCAAAACTTTTTTGAGAGAAGAAACAAAACAGGCCATGGAAAGGGTTAAGAATTAAACTCTCCTCGGATTTCTCAGAAGTAGCCTTGGATGTTAGAAGACAATGAACAATGATTTCAAGATTTTGAAGAAAATAACTTCTACTACAGAATATCATCCTCATCCAAACTGTCAAAGATGAGGGTAGAAGAAACACAATTACAGACAGGCAAAGTCTCTGAAAATTGACTTCCCAGATACTTACCTATGAAAATTGTTAGAAGATGTGCTCCAACACCAACACCAAGAAAGGAAAGAGGAAGGGTGTGCAATGCAGGAGAGAGACAGAGGGAATCGAAAAGGATGGAAAAATCTCCAGGAAAGAATTTGGCATCAGATTCAGAGAACACGTAGGTCAGGATGAGGCAGGAGATGAAGCACCACAGAAATGATTTCCCCAAGAACAACTGAAACTGATGGATCACCGGATGGGTTCACATGGATTGAAGAAAGGATTAAAGCTCCGGAAAAGAGTTTTGAAACAAATGAGGGATAAAGATAAGGAAAACCGAGCCAAGGAGGAAATGAAATCCTTTTTTTGAAGTCCAGAGAGAGCGAAAACACCGTACAAAAAGGAAAAGTAGTCAAAGGACACTGTATTACACAGCAGTCCCGTTGTGTCATCATATGGGTGGTCGGCCAATGTGCGTGTTATGTGATGACTTAATAAAAAAAATTATGATATAATGGGAAGATGTGGATAAAGGAAATGAGTGTGTGCCTATGGTCCTGATTCCTATTTTTTCAACTGTAGGACGCTCAGAGGAAGTCACCTGAATGAAAAAAAAAATAGTACTGTGAGCATATTATTGGAAATAGGGGAGACACCAGAAAAAAAGAAGTGAAAAAGAAGGCGATTCCTTCTGGAAAGGTGGGATTAAGGGTAAGGAGCTGAAGAACATGAAATTGCTTGCTGTTTTTTTGTTAGAATCCTCATAGAACTACGTGATCTTTAAAACCATGAACGTGCTTATCTTAAAGAAAAGTGGAAATCAAATTAAAAAGTGAATAATAGAAATGTATGTGTTTTATTGTTTTGGCATCTCTAAGAGGAGAAAGTGTTTGAAACTGTTCATGAAGGAATCTATCTCTGGCTACAAAGCCTCTTGAGCTGCCGGCATCAACCACAACGGTTGGTCCTCCCTCCCCACCCCGCCCCCACTTTTTATGTTTTCTAAATTAGAAAATCTTAACTCGGAATTATAGGTTGCTGGGAAGCATTGACAGATATTTCCGGCTTTTCAGATCAAACACAGACCCAGAAATTACGGAGAGGGTTCTGTTGAAAGACTATTTTCAGTGTTTCTCCAGAGGAGGAGGGCCCCAGCTCAGTACAGCTGAGAGCTGCCAGGTTGACTGTCTCTGGTCACAGGGGCTAATGGGGGCGTGTACCTCTTTGGTGGCATTTGGCTCTGGATGCTCTTTCTTGATGTCCAGTTGCAGCATTTGGATGTAATTTTTAAGATGCCCAATATGTGTTTCCCTAAGTGTGTTTTTTTTTTCCTAGTGAATGAAAAATATCACTGTGGTATTGGGAAAAAAGTCAAACTGCAATTTACACTGCTTTTCTGTTTTAGGAAATCAT